TTACTAAGTCCCCATGACCTTAAACCCTAAACCCGAAACAATGCGTGTGTACATATGTCAAGTAGTTTCCGTTTCCTTTTCCGTCATTAATTAAGTTGCTAAGTGCCTATGATCCTCCAAGCAAGGTTCGGGAAAAGTTTGATAGCATGCGCTCTTTGGGCCATTCAGGGTCAGCCTCGCAGGCAGCCTGTCCGAGCCCTTCACTTTTACTTGTATCAGAGTCTAAACTCCTCAAAAGGGGTGTTATAGAGATGATTAGGGACTACTGTAGGGGTTATTAAGGGGAATACCAGGAGTTTAGACTGTCGTTCACTTGAGCTTGTAAAGTCTAGGGCTAGGGTTTAGTTTTCAGCTCTTTTGTTTGACGAGGTAAAGTTTAGATTGAAGGTCTAGGATATATGGCTGAGGTGAGAGGTTCAAGCATTGGGGCTAAAGTGCTGAGGGTCAGGGTTCCAGGTTACGTTTGAAGGCTATTTTTTGGAAGGGCTTTGGGTTTGGGGGACTAGGTTACTCCTGAGTTGCCTTAAGTAGATAAGGTCTTCACAGGATCTGTGATTTGGCAGTCGTCAAGATTGTGGAGCCTTGAGAAGCGCAATCCCAGTCGTGGAAGTAGCCAAATCCTGTATGACAGCTTCCTGCCTATAGTCTAACCTCCTTAGCCTTATAGGGAGTCTATACAGGGGAAAGTATAGGGCCTCAGAGCTTAGCGCATCCGGAAAGCCCAATATTGCCCACCAAAAACATGACACACCAAAGCGGCGACCTGCCCCCATCTCTGCAGCGCTGCCAAGAAACACATTGCTGCACGGCCTTTGCCTGGCTGTTCTTGACGCCCTCAAGCTTCCAGGAGCTGTCCATCTCCCAGTTTTCCAACAGCATCTCCGCCTGAAACTGGAGCTTCAGCATGGCAAGCAAGCAGCAACGGCACGCAACAGACGACAGACAGAGGCCCACGCAGAAAGGACAGGCGCCATGTCTTGCTTGAGTGGGATGCCCATCAAGTCGCAGGTTCTCTGGCAGTAGAGTAGAAATTCGAGCGTGTCCCTTGCCTCACCACACCACAAACCAATCTAGCGGCTGCATAAGCAGGAAGTTCAATATCACAGCCCAGACACAGCGTGGGCAAGCGTGGCCATGATGAGTGCGGAGCTCACGGACCGGTCCCCGTCCTCGCCACCTTCAATGGTCGCTTGGGAGAAGAGCCCACGCGAGCAAAAAAAGAAATCGCCACCTTCAATGGCCGCAGCTGTTGCGACGGCGCTGTTGTTCGCGACAATCCCCCGCACTTGGGGATTGTCCAAGTTCGTGAGGAAGTCCACGAAGTCCTCGCCTCACGCCACAGTGAGATAAACATACGCAGGCTGAAGAAGTATGAGCATCGCACCCAACTAATGCTTTATAACTGTAGCTGAGAAGCTGCGTTCCTTGGAGGCGTCCCAAGGTGTGTTCGCCCCCAGGGACTTGAGGCCGGCCAGGCCCTCGTTCTTGATAGCCTTCACACTCAGACACTAAACTCTCTTGCACAAACAACAAGGTGAACTTGAACCTACGGTAGCCCCGTCCTCAAAATCATGCTGGTCCACAGAGAGCTGCGTGAAGTCCAAAAACTTCACGAGCCCTTCGAATAGACCTAGATGTCAGTTCCTTCCACCCAACAAATTTTAATCGAGGGGCATGTGTAAGCAACGAGCACCAATAGTTTCCGTCTCCGTCCATATCGCCTCATGTGTCTAAAGCAGAAGACCCTGAAAACCTCGCGTGCATTGAAACTGAGAGGTCTTATATGCATGCCAAGCAACCGCCGGCCATGCGGGAGTTCAAGAATCCTGCACGGCTGAGCATGTGATGATGAAAGGTTGGCAACTCGAAGACAAGGCCAAATGTCCTTCTGAGGTCATAGGGTTTACGGTGTATGGAGGCCATGGTGTGGGGGCTTTTTCCTGGCAACACAGGGATATGTGGGGTTTCCCAAAAATGAGGATACCTTTTTGGGGTCCCCATCACAAGCATTATAATATTTTTGTGTGTGGGTCCCCCGCTTTAGGGAAACTACCATATGTGTTTTTGTACATACCTTGATTTTTGGTCGCCTAGCCCCTAAAACCTAAACCTTAAACCCTAAAGCCCTATAAACCAAAGGCCGCGGTGAGGTGGTTTGTTGCGTAGAGAGCTGAGTCTAACAGACGTTACTTCGAGGAACCGTGGAGCTAGGCAATCTGACTATATCAGCATATTCACGTCCTGGAAAAGTAACCCCATTGTTAACCTTTGCAAGTAGGCTCCCTAGCTCGTTACATCCCATTAGTATTCCCAAGGTTCCACCAAGGATTCTAACAACCCCTAAACCCTAACTCCTGAATCCTAAACCCTAAATCCTACACCCTAAACCCTGACCCCTCCACCCTAAACCTTAATCCGCTCCCCCTAATATTCAACCCCCCCTAATGCTAAATACGGGTCCGCCAGAATTCCAAGTTCTGAAAATAGCTCCCAAGACTAGTGCTAAGTCTAAAGTTAACTGTGGCTCGGATCCTCTGCATTAGGGTGGTTCTTAGCACGACTCTAAAGGATGAGGAATCTCCTTGATTTCCTACATTTTGTTTGTTTTTGGTGGCACGTCTACTCGAGGACCCTGCGTTCGTGGGGTTTTTGAGCATGCGCAGCCGCCACCGTGTTCCAGGAGCATTTTGCACATTTCAAGCATCCATGCCCAAACCATAATAACGGTCGTGTTCCAAGAGCATACGATCACCAGAGCATCCATGCCCAAACCAGAATAACGTTCGTGCTCCAAGAGCATGCGCTCACCAGAGCATCCATGCCCAAACCAGAACAACGTTCGTGTTCCAAGAGCATATGCTCACCAGAGCATCCATGCCCAAACCAGAGTAACGTTCGTGTTTGAAGAGCATACGCTCACCTGAGCATCTATGCCCAAACCATAATAACGTTCGTGTTCGAAGAGCATACGCTCACCAGAGCATCCATGCCCAAACCAGAATAACGTTCGTGTTCCAAGAGCATATGCTCACCAGAGCATCCATGCCTAAACCATAATAAAGTTCGTGTTCCAAGAGCATATGCTCACCAGAGCATCCATGCCCTCTCTCATGCTTCAAACCCAAGCAATCCTTGGCAAGTGGTATTTCTGCCTTTGCTACTCCTTCCGAAAATTTCGTTTTTCTCCACTTTCAAAATGTGCCTCTCGCTGTAGCGAAACCCTTAAAGTCGCTGAACAATTTGACCAGTCTCAGTGTTTTAGCCCCTGTCCAAAATAGGCCCTGTAAAATGAAAATCTGTGAAAACCATGGTTTTTGCACATTTCAACTCAACGAACCACTTTGCCTAGTGAAAATTCGCAGGGGTCACGAGAAGACGCGCCACCTTGTTTTTGAATGGTTTTTTTCAAGGAATCTATATACAAATTTCCAGAAGCAGATTCGAAGGCCCTAATTTGGAACAGTCCCTGATTGGCCCTAAATTTGGAATAGTCCCTAACAAGGCCTAATTTGAAGTAGCCCCTCATAAGGCCACAATTTGAAATAATCCCTCATTAGATTTAATCAAATTTCATACGTAGTAATCGGCTGCTTCAAGTTTATTCGGCTTCATCGACTTCTATACGACTTTAATTAGATTGCAAAAACAAATATGAAATCTACCCCCCCCCCAATATATATATATGTATATATACATATACATATGTATATATATATATAAATATCGGTCACACGATAAATACACACCCCTATTATTACATATGGGTTGGAATATATACCTTAAGGGCGGGGGAAGTAACATTATATATCGGGGGGGAAGGGACTAAATCCCTCATCCCCAAAGTTTAGGGTTCTGGCGTGTCGGACTGGCATCGATCTCCTGAACCCATCTGAGGATCTGGGAAGTAAACCCCCAACCTACCCAGAGGCTCCTATGCAGTTCCTTTTGGGTTTAGGGCTTAAAATTCTAATTCAGGGGTCGGGGTTCACGGCCTAGGGTGTAGGGATTGTAAGTGGTTTTAGTACAGCACCCAAGAAAGATTTTCGTATGTGCCCTAGGGTAGTGCCAGCACTCTATTCTACTGCTGGGTTGTGAGAGGACGCCGCAAGGGGAACCTACACCCTAAACCCTAAACCATTCTAGATCCTCCCACAGGTCTGGACTGTTGCATCTATCCTGCCTTAGCAGACATCGTCCTCCGAACTTTGCCGGACACTGCCAGGGTTGCTGCTATCGAAAGGAAACAAGTTACCATAATCGGTATATATGTATATCTATATATATATATATATATAGTAACTAATATGGTTCCCAATATAGCAGCTTAAACCAATTTCCTTAACAGCAACCCAGCTGCTGATGCTGAATTTTCTGTACTGTGAGGAGGCTGGCGGGGGCGCAAGTACTGGTAACGGTCCTTTCCATGATGGATGAGCTCGGATATCCAAGTAGAAACGAGAACCATCGGATAATGAGGATTGACCTTCTGCGTCCCGGAATTACAATGCCCCTAGCATTTTAACAAACCCTAAACCAGGACCCTGAAGCCTGAACCCTGAACTCTTCTGATATGAGACTAAAAAGGCCCTTAAACCCTAAACTCCCAAACCCTAAACCCCTAAACCCCTAACCCCTAAAACCCTTAAACCCTTAAACCCCTAAACCCCTAAACCCTAAACCCTGTCCAAAGGACTTTTGGCGACCCGGGAGCCCTCACATGCCGAAGGTGATGAAGGCGTACCTGAAACTTGGGGGTTTTGGGGTTTAGGGGTTTAGGGTTTAGGGGTTTAGGGTTTTAGGGGTTAAGGGTGTAGGAGTTTAGGGTTTAGGGTTTTAGGGTTTATGGTTTAGGGGTTAGGGTTTTGGGGTTTAGGAGTTTAGGGTTTAGGGTTTAGGGTTACCACTATGGGCTATCAGACCTTAAGGGTACCTTAATCCACCCTTATTAGGGTCCTAATAAGGAATTTTAGGGTCTAATAGTCCATAGTGGTAGGGTTGAGGGTTTGGTGCTTGGGGTGAGGGGTTTAGGGTCTTGACACATCAAGGGTAAGATTGGATTAGATGATGCGGAAATTTCCAAAGTCGAGGTACGCTTACGGACCAGCCGAAAACGTATGGAATTCTTTTAGACCCTGAACCCGAAGCCCTAAACCGTAAACCCGAAACCCTAAAGGATTCTAGAGATCGCAAATCCTCCTTGAGATGGGAACGGGCCTGAGCCTGTGCGGATGCAGGGCATGGGTGCCAAGGGCTCTTCAAATCCAAGGGGTGCGGTTTAGGGGTTCAGGGTTTGTTTAGGGTTTAGGGTTTGTTTAGGGTTTAGGGTTTGTTTAGGGTTTAGGGTTCAGGGTTTGTTTAGGGGTTAGGGTTTAGTGTTTGTGGGCCTAAAGCGAATCCTATGCACATGCATCAATGCTTAAGCAGTTGCCATACAAGTAGGACTGCTTACAGGAGGGTAGTGTCCAATGAGGAAGAGTATCTACAAGGGGTATATAGTGTTACATTTGTTGAGCCTAAACCGAATCCTATATTGTATATAGCCTCATAAAAAATAGGAGGATCCCAATATAGACCCCCAAAATATTACAATCCTCAGCATGGGAACCCCATGAAAATAAACCTACTTTGGGGAAATCCACAAACCCAAAACCCTACGCCCTAAACCGCGCTTCAATGCTTAAGCATCTACCATACAGACACTCGGATCTTAGGGAACCACCTGTGAGGAGCCGAACCTACAACCTGCGGCCTTGGAGACGTGAGCCCTAAGCCTGAAATGACAGCTGGGGTTTAAGGGTTAGGGTTTGGAGTTTCGGGTTAAGGTGTAGGGTATTTTCCACTTTCTTTTCCATTATCCCAATATAACCCACATGTATATCTTATTTTAATATAATAGTTTTCATCTTGTTTCCATTATCCCTATATAGCCCCAATCATATACTTTCTTTTCAAGATAGTGATTTCCATTTTCTTTTCCAGTATCCCTATATAACGCCCAAACCGCATTCAGGTTCAGGGTTTAGTCCTCAACCCTAAGCCCGAAACCCTAAATCCTAAACCCTAAACGGTTTAGGCATTGGCCTGCGATTTCATGTCCCTGCCCTGAACTTTATGGTCGGGGCTGTGAGTGGAATGGCGACAGCACATGTTGGTTCTAAGTAGGGGCCGTTCTAAAGGGTTTAGAGTTCTGAGGGTTTTTAAGGTGTTTAGGATTTTGGGGGTTCAGGGTTTAGGGATGAGGGAGTTTCCAGAAATTGGGAGGGTCCTTCTCAGGGGTCCCAGAAAGGTTCTATATTGGGATCCGTATTATGGACGACACTACTATGTGGA